TTATCCTACTTTAGTGTAATCATTATGGAACTTGGTCGTATTTTTCCCCAAATATGAATGAGCAACAAGACATGTAGAATGGAGTGAGATGCCTTTTATAGCTTTGTTATTTCCAGAGCCAGTTATTAATAGTCCAATGATTAAGGACAGCTGGGTCCAGTTTTACTTGAATACAGTACTAGGAGGCTTTATCTCTGACTGGAATGGAATCCCAGATGGACTGCGTCAAACTAATTTAAAAACTGTACTGAGATGGCGGCAAGTAAAAAAGTAGCACGTCATCTAATTCTTTGAATGAGTAGATAGGCCTATTTTGAAGTTTTTCCCTCACTGAGGTTTTAAACCCAGCCACATACATACTTCAGACTTCTTCAGGTAGAAGTCTATACTACCTTCAGGTAGAAGTCTATACTACCTTCAGGTAGAAGGTATTGAAGAGTTTAATTGTGGTCAATGGGAAGCTATTCAGGGATTTGGACAGTCTGCATTGAGGAGTGTCGAGGTTTCTAGCGTTCCTGGGGTTATGCTGATGGATATCCTGTCTTCTTCCATACATAGAGATGATCTGGCGTACGTGTATCACACAGTTGAAGACATATTGTCCATAAACAATCAGGATGCCGAGACATTGAAAGGGATCAGTTGCTGAAGGTCTAAATCCCAGAAGGTCTAATTATCAATCAATTATCAATTATTTAAGATGGGGACGCCACTATGAGCGTATTTTAACCCAAATATGAGTGAAGGATGAGTGTAGGATGAGTAGGATAATTAGACCTTTGGCACACATTTTGCATTTAGTACTTGTTGCTGAGGGTCTAAACGGGCAGTATTCCGAAGGTCTAAAAGTACAGTCAATGCAGAAAACTCACCCACTGATACTGTTTTAGGCCTTGTGGGATTTAGACCTTGGGCACACAACATATATTTTGTAAATAAATATTTATAAAATGAGAGTTGCTGAACATCTAATAATAAGAGTCCCAGAAGTTCTAAAATGTCTCAGGGTATTAAAACGACGAATTAACTAAAATAAACGTACATAATAATTATTTGTTAAGCGAACGGAACAACTGTAAATTTGTAGCTAATTGATAATTGATTTAAAAACAAACTGAAATACAGCCACCGCTGGTCACTGGCAGGCAGGAACTGGCGGGTCTGGAACCAAGTCGGTGAAATTTAAGTTATTATATTTAAATTTAGAGGTTTAAAATCAAATTCTTAAATGAAAATTGTCGTAGAACAGGAAGACGTGTATGAAAGGTAAATCAAACGAAAATCGTGGAAATGGAATTAACTATTATAGCTAACCTTCGGCAATCAAATTATCGATGACCTAAAGCCAAGATTTATTCTGCTGCGCACATCCACTCCTGGTTTTATGAGGCCTATTTGACTTTAGTTTGAAATTTTTGGTAGGAAAGATAGAATTGAATTTATGGCTGAAAATACTGATAAAGCTATCAAAAGGCGTTTCATTCTGAGTTCGGCCTATTCTTGTTTCATTTACCCATTCATTTTGATCTATCAAAAATCGAATGACATTGGGATGAAACTAGCCACCCTCTGAACCTTGGATTACTTGGCAAGACTAATAATGCTAGAGTCTCCTTGTCCTGAACTGTAGTGTTGATTAATTATTTTATCTAATATTTACAAACAATGTTTAGAACTCTTTTTGGCATTTTAGATTTTGCTTCCGTCGATGTCAACAACGTAGGAAAAGGGAAAGGTGGTGGATCTTGTACAGCAGCTGCATTTCTTAAGGTAAGGATAATGTTTTAGTAACATATGATAGTTAATATCCTATTTCCATATACAAGTAAAGTAAAAGTGACACTAACTTCTAAAGTTTTTGTAAGTTATAAGACCAACACACTAACCGTCCGACATCTGCACGCCCATGAAACCATCTCTACCCTGATGTTAAATGGGTCCCACACACACTGGGTCTGTTAACATGATTAAAAAATAATTTTTATTTTGTTTGTTTTCATGTAATTTTATATGTTTTGTTAAGTGGATGTTCCAAACCCTGTTCTTTGGGTTGAATAGCCCGATGACCAAGTTTATTCTTATTTTGCAGGAGTTTGCCCCTCCAGGAGACTGGATGCACCTGGATATCGCAGGGACCATGTTTGCGGATGATTACGGAGGTATGAGCTATCTACAGAAAGGAATGACAGGTCGGCCAACACGCACTCTCATACAGCTACTTGTACAGATAGCTGGTGCAAATAAATCATGATGTTAATGTATCTTGAGGGGAAATAAATTACCACTTTAACGTTTGATTTATTTGTTCCATGGCTGTTTTTACTTTACATTTATTTACTATCCTGTTTTCTCCTCTGGGAAATAATTCAAAGTGGAGATATAAAACTATTTAAAATTATTGCATTCAACATAAATTGTTTGTAAAAGGTAACAATATTATATGTAGGAGAGATAAGTACAACAGTTAAATAGTAATAATTACTATTTCACTGTTTTATAAATTATTTATAAAATTGAAGTTTACTGCCCAGACCAACAAATCTCAACACTCAACAGTATTATTGAAACATTTTACTCAAGATAGTTATTATTATTAGTAAACTATTTAAATAAATAATATCCTTTTCAATAACTTACGTGCTCAAGGATTAACCCTCCAACTCGAGCATAATAACCTCTGTAGTGGCAAGGCAATTTTTGCGGCCACAAAAATATTATTGGAAATTAATATAAAATTCAACCAATAGAGCAAACCTATTGAACCATATATTTTTGGTTGTGAACTTAATGAAAAGTTTGAAAATAGTAAAAATATATTTAGAAAGTAGTTTTTAAGTGTAGAAGATAAAATAAGAAAAAAAGAAATTTTGTTTTTGAAAAGTTGAAAGGTAACTTATTATTTTTGAGGTAGTAACAATAAAAATACAAAAGGAAAACAGTGAATTCGACCACAGCAAACGGTGCTAGAAGTGATGGTTTTTATGAAGAAACAAATTTTACCATCAAGAAAAATGTTGGCTTGTTTACAGCATTGGCTTGAAATTTATTGTAAATTGTAACCTGAGAGTTGCATTGAATTTCTATTTATTCATTTTCTATGCTTTGGGACATTAAAACTTGCCACGGAATTCTGTTTTTTTTTTTTTTTTTTTTTTTTTTTTTTTTTTTTTTTTTTTTTTTATAAAACAATTGCAATAGGACTAATTTAATTTTTTAACTGCTATTGCCTTATTGCAGCAGAGGAAAACAGTGAATTCGACCACAACATATGGTGCTTGCAGTGGTGGGTTTTATAAAAAAACAAATGTTACCATCAACCAACATTTTGAGCTTCTTTACAGCATTGCCTTGAAATTTATTGTAACCTGAGAGTTACATTGAATCTCTATTTATTCATTTTCTATGCTTTGAGACATTGAAACTGACCACAGGATTCTATGTTTTTTTACTAAAACAATTGCAATAGGACTCATTCATTTTTGTTACTCATGTTGCCTTATTTTTTGTTTTGTGATTTACAAAACCAAAGTGAGAAATAAATTTAAAACAGTTAGCAATCAAAAGAAAAAATGAGAAAATACAAATTAATTTTGTGTTACCCATTAGTTTACTTGTTTTGAACACACTTAAAATGTTTTTTTTCTACGCCTACGTCAGTGGCATTTATGTGAAAGTAGAATGCTTTAAAAGGTAAAAGTGTTTAAAATCCCTCACAGTTTTTAGGGGTTGAACCCAGGGCCATATTTATAATCGATGAGGCCCCCGGCGGCTCTCACTAGAGGCCCCTCTACATTCTGATTCTTCAAAGGTTGGAACTTAAGGGTTTAGAAATACTTTTGGTATTGCTTCAACTCGATTTAGTTTCCAAAAATCTGATAGGCAAAAATACCTAGGAGATTGGCTGATAAATAAGTCTATTATTATTTTTTTATAATAATATTGGGGGTCTTAGGTAGAGGCCAGATATTCTTAATTTCTTTCGGGTTGTGCAAAACATGTTGAACTTAGAGCATCGGATCAAAATCGGGTGGTTCTGTAAATATAATTAAAAATATATTGATATACTATAATTGGTTTACACAAAATTTGAAATCGCGGCCAAATCATAAGGGTCTTCTGTGGTCACAGTAAAATCTTACGACATCTGCCGCGGTCGCGGAGGGATCGAGTACATATTCTACGTTCATGGCAAAATAGTGAACATAATGCGCGATCACAGATAAATCATCTTTGTCTCCTCCGATTGTGGCGAAATCATGAATGCCTCCTGTGGTTGTGGAAAACAGTGGACATCTTGCGCAAACGCGGGGACATCATCTCAGCAATCTTGCGGGGACCGATCACATTGGAATGATGAATGTCTCCTGTGGACGCGGAGAAATAGTTACCATCTTGGGCTAGCGCGTGGACATCATCTTCGTCTCCTCAGATTGTGGCGGATTGGCTGCGTAGAAATAGTTAGCATCTTGCGCAAGCGCGTAGACGTCAGTTTTGTCTCCACTGATCGCGGCGGATCTGGCCGCGGAGAAATAGTTAACCTTGCGCGTGCCTGGAGACGTCGTGTAGATCTTCCGAGTTTGCGGGGACATGAACTTCGACTCCTGCGGCCATAAAATCCTGGACATCTTCCGAGATCGCAGATGAATAGTAGTAACAATTCCTATGTTAACAGGCGAAATAGTGAAGATCTTAAGTGCAGATTTCATCAACGTTTTCTGTGATCGCAGAAAAACACATTATCAAATTTATCAAAAACAAAATTGAGGTCCCAAGTGAGGCCCCCGGCAACCGCCGTGTCCGCCGTTATGGAATTACGGCTCTAGTTGAACCTGTCCCTCCATGACTGAGACACTAACCACAACAAAACACAACACACCAAAGTATTTTGTTTAGAAAGAATAATTTTTTATTGCAATGCTATTGGATTGGCATTTTATAATTTTAGACACCTTGGTAAATTAGTAGTGTAAATGACACAGGATACTTAAAGCATAAAGAAAGACTTTTTAACACCTCATGCAACAAATGTAATGAAAATAAAACCTCAATAATACAAATTGGTTGATAAATGATCATGCTAAATAAACACTTTTAAAACAGAAACACATATCCACTTTAAATATCACCGAGCCTTTGATGATTTTGCTTTTGCCTTTTCAATGTTTTCAGTCTAAAAATGTAATCATAATAAAACCTTTTTAATAAAAATGTTATAAAGATCTTGTTAAAACTTAAAAACGAAAACACATATCCACTTTAACCATCACTGATAAGTTGTTGCCTTTGATGATTTTGATTTTGTCTTTTTCAATTTTTTCAGTCCATCAAAATTTCCTTTGAGTAGGTTGCAGTAGGCCAATTGAAATTTATTCACATCTCTTGAATGAACCTGTAAAAAGTAGGGTAATTAATTGAAACAACAAATAACTTTGAAAATGGTGGGTACTTTTTCCTGCACAGGTGACAAACAACACAAATGAATACAAATCAAAGCAACTGTGTACTATTGATAAAAAAAACTAAAAAAAAGAATTTTTTTAGAATTTGGCTAAAACCGCACAAAACTGGTATAATTTTTAGCCAAGTGGGGAATAGTATCAATCCCCAGCCGGGTAAAAAGATAGTAGACTAGCTAATTTACAACAATTATGAAAAATTTGAAGCTGTAATTTTGTGAAGTGGGAAAAACTAGTTTGGGCCATGAGTGTTGTGGTTGAACCTTAAAAATGGTTTGCCCGGTTCACATGTCTCTTTTACTTAAAATCTTTGATATCGAGGAATCATCAATTCTTGAAAAATTGTATAACTTATTTTTCAACCATCTCTTGCGAAACATTGTAAATTTTCAATCATGCAAACTTTGAGAGGACATATTTGAGGCAATAACTGAAGTATTTGTAAATTGTGAGCAAGAGGTTTAGTAATATTTTTACTTTTGATATTGAAATTACGGTAATGTTTATTAGATATAAAATTACTCAACAACTTGGGTCTCCCTGGAAGTGAACAGGATTTTACTAACCAGCACGCTATTCCCAAAATGTAGTGATTATAAAAAAAGTACAGTAGGACCTTAATATCTCGAATCTGAAGGGGTTATGATAAAAATTCGAGTTATCAAGTTTTTCAAGTTAGTGAGGTTCGAGTTATGAAGGTTCCATTTGAAAAAGTTCGAGATACTGAGGTGTTGGGGTCTGACAGTGATGTTACGTCATGGCCTTTGTAACTCGACTTATATGTGTTAAACCTTTATAATCGAACTCTAAACGTATTTATACGTACTGTGGAGTAACTGTGGAAGCAAAATAAAACTGTTTTAATGCACATAAAGTACTGTATTTATTATTTGGCAATATGTTTGATAAAGTACATAAAAACATGTTAAATGACAAAAAAATAGTTTAAATACTGTACAAAACAATAATACAGTATATATCATCCATACACGGAACTACATTTACTCTGTATAATGTTTGTTTAAAGCAAACGTTAGTCAAACTCTTTATATGTACTGTAAAAACAAGCTACTGTAACAACAAAAATACTGAATAGGTACAATACTGTACATACAAAAAGTATTTGGACTGTAGAGAGTAATATTTAAAGGGAAAATTCTAGTGTGATTGAAATACTAAACAAAATGCATCGTAATGTAGTTATTTACTGAATCTACTTTGGCAAAACGGGCAAACTACACTGACTACATCAGTGCCTAGCCAAACAAACACGGGAAGCAAACACAGGAAGTTAGTTCGATTTTCACGTCTCGACAGGAATCAAGACACAACTGACTTGCACTGTTAAGGCAAAACTTTGAAGTATTGAGGCACATTCATGCAAACTTCGACTTATAAAGGTAAACTTCGAGTTACTGAGGCTCGATGACGGGAAAATTCGAGTTATAGAGGTAGAATGTTACTGTTCAAAAGTTGTTAAAATTCAACATATTGAGGTTAAATATTTAGAAACTTCGACTTATAAAGGTACTTTTAACATTATGATTAATGTGGATTTCAAGGGGATTTAAAAAAAATCGAGATATTGAGGAATTCGAGATATTGAGGTTCGAGTAATTGAGGTTCTACTGTATTTTAAACACGCATCAGCACCACTTATATACAACAATAGGTAGCATAGGGAATTTAAACACTTTACCAGAATTTAATGAGTGACAATTTTATCAAACTAGGCAGTAAAATGAATTTGTTTATGACATACCAATGTGTGATAGAGTGAGGCACACATTCGAACCCCTAGGGACACTCCCAGAGCCTACCTGGCAGGGTGAGTTGTGTCTTCAAATATTTAAAACTAGCCAGTATACCCCTGCTTTGCAATGAGGAGAGCACGCAGAACATTTAAAAATTGTTCTTCAAGTTCATCAAATGAAATTTGTAACTAAACCCAGAATAGATTTTAGAAAAAAAATTCAACTACACCGCTTTAAACATACACAAAATTACTACCGTAATGTAATATCATACTTTTAACTAGGAAGTAAGTTAACTTAAAACAAGTTATGAGCATAAAAACTGAAAAAATATACTTACTATGGTGGCTAGTTTCTTATTATTAGTCTTTGCTCTCAGAAGACACATGTATTCTGAGGGTTCTGTTGGAGATTTACTGGCATCTCTTGGTTGAGGTTTCGTTCGACCATCATCTGAAATTATATTTATAACTTAAGTATCTATTTTTGCCTATGATGAGTGGCAGCGTAGCGACTTTTTTACCTCCCTCTCATCTAAGATGAAATAAAACAGCTTCCAGCAAAATAAATTCTCAGGTAGGTTAACAATTTTAGGTAAACGGGATCTATCGTAAAAAATACCCCCGCCGCAGCAAACCTGCAGACTAAGTGAATTTCCATTTGCCTGAATTGATATACAATTAATCTATTTAAATAAGACTAGGTTAAACGAGTACCGGTACTTAGGTTTGCTGCTACAGGGAGGCTAATAAAGTGTGTTTTTTTAGTATGATAATTATAACTTAGTATAAAATAAGTAAATTTGCCAAGTTTGATCAAAATATATCCATAAACTAGCAAACTACAACACTTTAAAATATTCTCCATAAGAATGACATGGGAATTTTAAATTTACAATTTTTTGAATTTTCTTCATAATTAATAACTGCACAAAATCACTAAAATATACCTAATTATTGTCTTTTTAAGCCCTTTAAAATGGTCTTGATATAAATTGGGAAATTTTGTGTTTTGATGGTTAAAAATGAGAAAAACTAATTTTCACCCCTAAAACCCCCTGTAAAACCCCGTTCCCCTCGTCCGATCATGCTGGTTCATGCGAGCTCATTTAAGTTTATCCCGCCTTACACCTTCAAACTAGATTCCATCAAAATCAAACAAAAATTACTCAAGTTATCGCATTCACGGACACATATATATAGAGCCGGCAGTAAAAATTGCCAACATTATTCTTAGAAAAATGTAAAAGACAACTTTCAAAATTTACAAAATGTAGCACTTTAACGATACCCCTATGCAGGCTATTGAACGACACCCCTCTGGAATTGGTACAGCCCCTCTCAGCTTCTCATGAACAGACGATTAAGGAGCACACTGCCTCAGGCCGGACATTTGATTTGTGGTACACCGTCACCAGGTCTTAAGGATCTTGCAGTATAAATGCAATTATGAAAGAAAACATAAAGCGCAAACTCTCAATCCTCTTCAGATAGAAGACCTAGTTTGGATTGTGGACCTTAGAAGACATGGTAAAATTGTGAAAATCCTTGACAGCCCTCATTCGTATATTGTTGAAACTGATAAAATAAATGTGAGGGAAAATTGGTTCCATCTCAAACTGGCCCCTTTAAAAGAGGAAAACAGTGAATAAAATTGGTCTGAGAATACATGTCAAAAAGAACCATACAACCGTCCAAAGAGAAATATACACAAACCAAGCTGGTTGATGAACTACCTATGTTAAAAGGGAAGATGTTGTAAGAACAGTTTATTTCATAGCACCCATTAATTTCTCATTATTTATTTAGTATTAAGGTTGACGGACAGGTAATATAAACCATTTTTATTCTATAAGTGATCCTGGGCCACTAAGCATAATGAAATTTATTTATTCATAGATTATGTGTTATGGTTTGTTAAAAAATTAAAATTAACCCTTAGAGTGCCAGGCGAGAAATAAAAGTAACGCTCAAAAAATGCCGATGATTTTTCCCGAAGGTCGCGCTAAAAATGCCGAGCGCGATCTGGCGATTTTTAGGTTAAAATTTCGTAAACATCGAATTTTCGATATTTCGACCAACGAAAATCGATGTATCGCATCTAGTAACTTTCGACTCAATGTTAATATATGGGTTGAAAGAATCCGAGTATCCATTCGGTTGTTATGACAACTGTTCGATCATTACGAAACGTCCGGTCAGCCGGACGTTGGCACTTTTGGCTCGTTCTAAAAACGTCCGGTCGGCCGGACGTCGGCACTTTTGGCTCGTTTTAAAAACGTCCGGTTCCCCGGACGTTGTCACTCAAAGGGTTAAATGTTTTGTTTTAGAAAAATTACATTTTCTTACACGCATAAATGCAGTTAACAAAAATGTCCCCCTTGAGTTTCCTTGAGGTCCAACTAATGCCTTTACCTTACCTTAGGTATTTTTGTCAACCAATAGATATACTGTACTCACATTTCTTCATTGTAACTGTGACTGCTCCAGTACCACGCTTGCTCTGAAATAACTTGGTCAACTCTGAAAGAAACTGAAACATAAAGTATTATTAGTGTTTAACTATATTCTTTTACGGAAAGTAAACAAAAGAAACGTCTTATAACACTTAAAACATATATTTACGCTTATACTGTTACTCACAAGACGGTAAATATACAAAAAAGATGGTAGGTGGTGATCGATTTTGATTGGACACTCCAATTATCATCAGACCCAATAGGCGAATTATTAGGCGGTTTTTATTAGTTGCTGATAGGCCTACATGAATTTATGCACTGTGGCACGTTTTCACTTTTAGGCACATTGGGATTATCTGGGTAGCTAAGTGATAGTGCTTGCCTAGTAATCAAAAGGTCGCCGGTTTGATCCTGAGAAAAGTCAGTAGCTTTTTGATGGTTCGAAACTGGACCCAGCTGTTCCTGATCATTGGGCTTTAAATAAATGATCCTGACTAATGAAACCGCTGATCTTAGTCAGTAACAAAGCTACACAGGTCATCACACACCATTCTACACTCATCCTTCACTCATATTTGGGTTAAAATACGCACCTAGGTGGCGTCCCCATCTCAATGATTGATAATTAATAATTGATATGTACTATGGGATTATGCACTATTTTCCATTTTTCACTACGTTCATTAACAGACGACGTTGAGGGTTGGAATGAGGACTATCATGTCGGCAGTGGCCTAGCTTCTATTACTGGTATTTTACAAGGTTTAAATTAAATTTTTTTGATAATTTATGTTGATGTGATTAATAGTTTATGTATCGCAGTTGATTTACCGTATTGTATTTTCTAAACAGCACCAAAGTCCATTTGCTTTTACAAATCGAATAATTATTGCATAAGTTTATTGTAATTCTGATTTTTCTCTCTTGTCGTTGTGTAAGGTTTTGTCTGTTTGGTATAGAATGTAAACAACTGACAGCTGTTTCCACCCCACAAACTTTCCTCCCCTTTCAGTGTTAGTCGCCACTAGAACTTGGACTCGTCCAAACCACAAATAGGTACCATGTGAATGACTCAACAAAACTGAAGCTTAATATTCATGATTACACTGTATGGCCACTTAGGAATCTCTCCGACAAAAACTTATTGCATTTTTGGATTCAGCGTGAAAAATACTGTAAGTAGATATCTATAAATCACATCATATCCTAATGTAGATACATTAAATAATTAACACTTAATCTTATGTGTCTCCAGCAGTGGCAAAACTAACTGATTGAGTTTGGCCTACTTTAGGGCTTGAATGATATAGGCCTAGGCCTTAGAAGTTAGTAGGTACCGTAGCCAAATGTTAAATAGTCGGCAGAACTTTTCAACTCCATCGTACTTATCGCTTGTTACAATATTTGCAAATGGTATAGAAGTTTGGTTTTTGATGCCGCAAAGTTTTTTTTTTTTAAGTTAGATCGAATCAATACTTTTATGTTCAAATGTGGAGTTGGAAATCAAAGTTTCGCCATTACGCTAAATAAACCTAGGCTAAAATATAAACCTTTACTCACCGCATCATTTTCCATTAAAACCATTTTAGTCAGTCAATTAAGAATTTGTAATTAGGCTAATTGTTAAATATCGCTCACTAGCCACTCTCAAAATCACTTTGGTATCCTGGTTTTCTAATGACACAATTATTAGCAGTGCTTACTTACTTTGATTAACAATTAATATTCAACGAAATAGAATCAAAAATAATAGATAAGCGCATAATTAAAACAATGTAATATCAATCTGCTCTGATTCCGACACTGGTTAACCAACGTTGAGGTTGAGGTTATCTTTTGTTGGATTAAATGGAATTGGGAAAACAGTTAACAACAACAACAACAAGCAACTCAACACAACAACATTCATAAGGAGGAGAAGAAAATGAAGCATGCTGCATGCTGCAAACATGATAAAAGCGACGGGGATTGGTCGATTGTAGCTAGAAGAAGAAGAAGTTTCATAGAATTTAGATGACGTTTCACAAATCAGACGACACGTAGATAAAAGTCAGCTGTTTGCTACTTGTATGACTTTACACTTCTCTAGGTGGCCGTGGCTAACCTTACTAACGTTTTATATTGGCTTCATGGACAAAAAATCAACTTATTTACGAGTAGATCAATCGGTCATTGAGTATGAAAAACATGGCCATAGATAAAACAATGGCCGTTTTCACCCTAGCCGACACCACATCGACCCGATAAAATGGGATTTGCTTTCACATATATAAGGGCGACAGTCGGTGGCAGATAGGCGACAAAGCTGTCTGTGGCTGCACTGTGCCACGGCCGCTTCTAACTCCAGGCCGCGGCCTTCGAAGTGGCAACGTCGCAAGTGGTGTTGTAACAGCTGTTTTGTTTGGAAGCAGCTATGGTATTTGTGTATTTACGAACGATTGGTTACTGGACTATAAAAATATAGACCCCGCTTAAAATGTACAGATATAGTTGATTTTCAATCCATATTGTTTTGGTTTTCAATTCTGTATGTTTTATTTTCAATATTTTAATACATTTATGTTCATAAATTTAAGTTTAAATCAATAAAGTGCTAATTAATGAGCTGATGTCACCTGTCTGCTATATCTTATGGAATGTCACTAAACAACACCACTTGTGACGTTGCCAATTCTACCAGGCCGCGGCCTGTAGCTAAAGGTGGCCGTGACTGTGCTTTGTAGAGATGCAGGGGCGTCATTCGGGGGGGGGCGTTCGCCCCCCCCCTGGTTCCTGGGCTATAGAAAAAATATGCTGTACTACTACCTAATATACAAATATTTTCTCCTGTCAAAACCTAAAAAGCACGGAAGACAAAAATCTGCCCATTCTTGTACGGTAATTTGAAATAAAAATATTATTTTTTAGTGTCTCAGTAGCACATTTTGAGTTTACATAAATTAGTAGTTTTGTTATTCATTTACTTTTTCTGTTCGGTTCTGTATGATCAATCACTTACTTCTAGTTTATATTCTTACATAAACATGCAGATTTTAGAAGCATTGCATTGTCATTTATTTTTATGAATTATTCAAGCATTAAAATTATACACGTGTATCAATTTTACGTAATTTATTTTGAACATCTTAGACTACCAGTTTAATATAGTTAAATAGAACACCTTTTGTACTTTTGTGTCAAATTATTTTATTGTTAATAAATACAATTTGGTTTGCTTTTAAGTACTTAAATACTTTGTGTTTTATTTAAAAACCAAAATAAACTACAGGCTATGAATACAACCGTATTCATTGCTCATGTCTAAATTTTGTACAAGAGAAATTGGTCATGAATCTAATAACAAACATAATATTAATACATCATGGAACTATTGATCAAGTTTCTTAGATGACTAACTTACCAACATATTATGTTTCTGTCTGTTGTCGATAATAATTGAGTAGTAGCCTAAGGTCACTCCTATCGCACCACCTGTCAGGGCAGGTGGGGTGAATTAATTGAGTTTAAAGCCCATCAGGCGGAAATGGTTGCTTCCGGTGCTACGTCACTTTGTGACGTCATAGGTGATGTGTAATTGGGGGGGGGGGGGGGGGGGGTGTATGAGGGTGATCATATGGTTTTCAAGGTCATAGGTTTGTGTTTTAAAAAAAGGAAGCTATTCTACACTTGTAGTGTAGGATAGCTTCCTTGTTTTGTTTATTGTTTATTTGTATAAAACATGAGGGATGACAATAACTTACATACTATTACAATTAATAAGGAAAACATGTGCGAACGTACGTATCTAGAGTGATTGTCTGCTAAAGTGTAAAACGAATGAGTTTATTGGTGGCCTTTATAAAGGCCGTTTTGTGTAGTTCGGCGACGCTTGTGTACTTGGATGTTTACTTCTTCAACTCCTCTATTGTATTATGGAGCTCTTTCCATCTTGCCATGTCTGCATTGTGCTCGGCCCATTCGATGTTGTCTCGAGGCTGAGCGCACCAAACACGATCAAATTTGCGTCGAATCTCTTTCTCCTCCTCTAGCAGTTGAAGTAGTTTTTTTTCCTTTCGTTTTCGCTCCTGCTCTTCTGCTTCGATGCATGCTTGGTGTAGGTCAGAGTCTTCAATATCACTTGTCCACTGTTGTTGTTGTTGTTGTTGTTGTTGTAGGTTGGCCATCTTGTGCAAAGTAAACGAGAAAGGTTGAGTTGACTGGTGAAGAGCTGGATGCGAAGTGACTGTTGCGTGTAAAGAAGTGCAGGTCCCTGACGAAGTGGGCGGAGCTAAAGCAGTAGAGGTGGGGGAAAGTAGTAGAGGTGGGGGAGAGCATCATGAGGGCATCATTCCATCCGTTTTAAAAGTATTTTGATTCTACGTCCCTTGTCTTGTGAGTGATGTTTCCGTTTTTCTTGATACGTTTTACAATTACATTGACAATAGGAGAACGATTCACATTTTTTACAAGCCATTCCATCTACTTGACATTCAGGTGTTTTGAAACACTTTAGATTACAACAATAGTATTTTAAATCGTATTCCGATTTGGGATCAAAAGATGAATTGGAATTACACTGTGACATGTTGCTCGACTGAATTCTAAAACAAGAATGAAAAGCAATGTGTTGTGAGCTGCTATTTATAGTGCAAGAGTCAGCAGCTCTCATGCATCTGTCACAAGTTAGTCTACATTTTTCCATAGTAGGTTAACCATTTGTGTTAGATCGTGTATGTAATTTTGATGCTTGTCTTGATATGTTTTACACCTACATTTGCAATAGCCAACAGACTCACATTTTTTACAAGCTTTTCCATCAACTTTACTTTCAGGCTTTCTAAAACATTTTAAATTACAACAATAGTTATCCAAATCGTATTTGGATTTGTAAACAAAAGGTAAATTGTATTTACGCTGTGACATGATGCTCGGTGAATTGTTAAAACAAGACTGAGAGCAACTGCGTGTAAGACCTGTTATTTATAGTAAAAAAGTTCAAGGTCATTTGTTTGAATTTTAAAAAAAGAAACAACATATCAGCATATAGAATTAATTATATGCTGATATGTTGTTTCCTCTTTTAATTTTTTTATTTATTTTTTTAATGACAAAAACATTTAACAAACATATGTACATAGATGGTTATTTACAGAAAAAAACTTAAAACTAACATTGATGGGTGATGTGTAGAGATAGTTCAGTGGAATTGTTTCCGCAAACTCCGTGTGATACCAAATAGAGGGATCCTGGTTGAATACCTCGCAGGTCTTCGTTTTGTAGTTGCTGTACAAATCGTCTTGGAAGATAAACTTGAAATTTCGGTTCATCACCTGGTGAAAACGGTGCCTCGCTCAGTGATGCTAAAATTGCGTCTCCATGTGAAGTTTCTGTCTTCTTCAGCTCGTGAACGATGTAGTGTTTGTGTTCCTTCAATTCGTGACATTTCTTAGTACTTAGAATGCTGGATTTGGACTGGGTGTTGAACTGATCCACCAAAGACTGGAGAAACTGTTGTGAAGCCATTTTCTTGATTAGGACTACCCTGTGAGATGTTGCCTCTGCGATGTCTGGAGTAATACTGATGAGGATCCTGAGACTGTCCACTGTATTTATAGCACACGTTCCCCCCTCCACTGCTATTTCCTTCGTAATACTTCCACTGTTGCTGTTTGAATTTATTTTTGTCCCAATAGTGAAGAACTAGAAAATTAGCTAATCGGTATGCGTTTTGTAGTGCACATTGTGTTACTGTGCGATAAGAGTGATCTGTTAAAGTACAAATAGGTCCATAATTAATTTGATGATCCTTGTCCATTCTTATGTCGAAAACATCGTGATATGTATATTGTTGTATCCATTGTCTTTTTTCCGATCCTCTTGTATAAATATGGGAAAACTTGTTAGAAAAATGATACATGATATTGTTCAAGTGCTTATAGCTTATCAATCCTTCGTTCCACTGAATATGGTGAAAATGTTTGGTTATCCATTTGTTTGTTCTTCTTGCTTTGTCATTCAATTGGTTTACTGAAAATGGAGCTTCAAATATAAACGGGTATACGACATGTGTAATCAAATCTAAAATCACTAATTCTTTTATCACAAATTCATCTTTGTTATCACGAAATGCTTGAAATTCTATTACACAGGGTTTTATATCCATAATGTTTAACCCTATCTACACACCACCACGTATAGTGTTCAACTGAATTCACACCGCGCCTTGGTCACTCTTTTATACTGTTTTTCTTTAATTACACTTCTTGGGTTGCTGGTTCTTCTTGGTTTATAGTTTCATATTCTTCAACAGCTTCTATCGCTTCTATCGCTTCTTCATCAATTGATTCGAAGTTCCTTAACTGTCTCCACATACCAACTTCATGAGGCAATCTATTAAAAATAGATGTATCCACGTGTCCGTATAATATGGTGCTTTCCGGTTGTTTTTCCAGTGTATCAATTAAATACTCTTTGATGATTGAACTTGAGAATACAAGTTGTTTCATATATCTAGAGATAGGAGACGTTGCATGCATTAAAATGTAGAATTCTTCACGTGAGAGTAAAATTTTACTTTCATGTTGAGTTAAATCTCTAAATCGTACTTGTAGTGTTCCACGATTCTTTACTATGTCAATTTCATTGTCAGAATCCAAAAGTCGAATATTAGTTTTCCTTCCGCAAACATTAGTATTTAAGTAACATTCAATTAGATTTAAATGTTTTAGAAAAGATTCCCATGCCGTTTCAGAAAATATAACCATTTTTGTACCATGCTGCAAGATTACTGTAGGTGTATATTCCGAAGATTTCATTAGTCCAGCTGTTACACTTTTACCCAAACATAGTGAGATAGGATAGTAAATGCGTAGGAAAAC